CGCAGATCATTGGCAAGAGACTTTTAACACCATTCAGGTGACAGTACGACTTCCTTCAGTTCGGCACCTCCATTTTGATAAAGAGCACCCCGGGGGAGACGGGTTCCAAGGTTTCCCACCAACCTCTCGGGAGGACTTGCGGCTCGCGGCATATTTGGAGTGGTCCCATGCCGCACAGATACTATATATTTTCAAACATCCATGCCTTCTGTGGGATTTGAACCCGTCCCTTTGGTACCGCAGTAGGCTTTCCTAACAGGTCTCACAGGACCATCTGAGCGGCTCAAATAGTTTTAGTTCTTGTTAATTAGTTGTGTTATCTATATTCTTGAATTGGCAATAAATAGACTTCGTATTTATGGAGTCGAAGGTAGGCTGTTAGATTCAAAACATCTGACCAATAGATAATTTAAGCTAATGGCAGTAATGTTATACTATGCTATCATGTATGTATTATTCATACAGCTTGGCAATTTCAATTACTTGAAACAAGAGATCTTTAGCTTCCACGAGACATCTCAAATTAACAGTTCCACATATTTTTCATTCTATATCATATATTATCTTTCATTTATCTGTGAAATTACAATCGCTTAACTAAAGTAGAGATTAACATACTTCTTAATTTGAATCGTTTTATTCTGATTCGTGTATTTAAAATGAACTTGATTTGCAATTTATGCAGTTGATAACTGGAATATCTACAGCTTGATTATATTTCAAAAAATTTATTTCTGACCCCACGTTTTACATACTTCGATATAGAATCGCGTGATATTTTACTGCATGACAACAATGCTACAGCTTCAGTATCTTCGGCAATACGGAATTGAGTTAAAGTAGGGCTATTTGGCTTCTTGCCGTGATGAATATGATGCCCTTCTGCTGACCTTTGTCAAACAAAACAACAACAACAATGTATTTTATTAATTATTGTAATGGCATAAAAAATTCGCAACATTTGTAGCAAAATATTATTAAAAAATAGTTTTTTTTTTTTTTAGTCCAAAGGGGCTTTGTCCCTGAAGGACTATTACTTTCGTTTTACGATTTTGCATTGAATCACTATAAACGGCAATTTACTTTTCAAACTGTTGCCACAAAATGTGGCAACAGTTTGAAGGGCATTCTATTATTATAATTATATTTTAAGAATTATATTATATTTGAAGAAATTAATTTACATTATATTTGAAGAAATATAAATTAATTTCTTTTGACATTATATTCTGGGCATTATATTTGAAGAAATTAAATAATGAATAATCTGAATAAATGTATGTATATTTCTCGCATTGTGATAAAAGAACGGTACATAAAGCCATCGAATTTCGAATGACGTAATCCTACTGCGGATATGGGCATGTAGAAGCCCAAATTTGAAATTTGTTTTATTATCTATTTCATATTTTGTAAAACTTTAACGAATTTTTGATTAACAAACTCGAGGATTTCAAAGCGAGCAATAGCAATGTTATACAGAGAAAAAAAATTATCTCCAGCGCGCGAGATTCTGTATCGGAAATTCTAAAGATATGCTCAATTTAAAACTATTTTGCGATATTACTATTGAACGGAATTTTATGGTTTAAGTGCAAGAACATGACATTTAATAAATAAAGGTAACACACAAAACGTTAAAAAAAAAAATAAATAAATAAAAATAAAAAAAAAATTAAAAAAAAAAAGCCCTTTTGAACGTAATTTAAAATCTGAAACCTTTCAGATTTTTTTTTCTTCTTTTTTTCAGTGATGAACAACTTCATTGTTATATTTTGGTAAATGATATATCTTTTAGACCTTCTCTACTAGAATAATTTACTATTTACTACAAGCACAAGCATGTTTATCTGCCGTATAGAGGATCTAAAAACGTGTAATTGCAGATATAAAAAAATATTCTATTACCTCTGGCTCTTTCTCCGCACACGCAGAAAATAAAATTGTAAAACTACAGGCAAATGATTATTTTGTTCAGATGATTTTTTCTGAAGTATTCGACACATAGGGAGGTAAGTTTTCCAGCCCAGAAGCCCATTGAAACGAATTTTTGTTAGTTAAAGAATTTAATTTAAAAATGGTGAAAATGTATGTAGTAACTATCAGTTTGATGTATTGCAAGTTATATCAATTAGCTAGATTTTAAATGAATAAAGATGTAATTTATTAACAATGTTTGAATCGCTCCATATTTTAAGCAATATGCCCTTTTAATTTTAAACGGAAACGTAAGGTCAAAATTCTCTATCGCTAAGAACGTCTCACCGCCTGAAAAGTAAATGCCTTAACACCATGAAGTAAAAAAGAAAACGGAAAGAGTAAAGTATTGATGTTTCTAAAGCAAAATTATAGACCTAAATGTTTATGAAAACTCCACTAAAATTAACACAAGTAAAAATCTCTTTGATCCGCGCCAGTGTTCCCCTGATGGCATCATATTTTTAAACTTAGGTCTCCTTTCCGAGTTGCGTGTCGAAATGAAAACACTTTGTTGAAACACGAACATCTCTTTTAGGTCGCGTGCGAAATTATATTTCACGCCATTTGCTTTAGTTAAGAATTCGTTTCTTTAAATTATGAAGTGAAAATTAAATGATACGCTCATTTATGGCTTTCTCTTCAGTACGGGTATCTGATGGAATTTTTATTCTGACGTAAGTAATATAAATATTAAAACCAGGTGCATCTTTTAACAGCTTTCTACATCGCTGAAATTAGTTTTAACACTAAGAAATAGCGATTTGTGTTCGGTATAATAAAGAAAAAGATTTTTTCAGTTTTCTTTTACACTGTTTTAGTGCATCAAGCGCATTGACAAAAGAAATACGTCGCTTAAATAAATGAAGACAAAACTGAATTAATGAATGAGGGGACGGGAATTAAGAAACCTTGGAAATACCGTCTGTTGAATTAAATAAAGAATTAATTAAAAGAAGAGGAGGTGAAGTTAGATTTATAAATTCTTTGCTGAGAACAAGACTTTAATGAGGCTTTAATATGAACTGTCATTTTTAGAAAAATGTTGCTTTTCTTCGCGATGTACAATTTTTAAATTAAGTTTTCGATTAAAATTAAAAATTCATATTGCTTAAAATACTGAGCGATTTAAAAATATTTCTTAATAAATTACATCTTTAATTAGTTTTTTTAATTTAGCTAACGATGTAATTTGTGTAATTTGAAATGCATCAAACTGAGTTTCTATGAACATTTTAACCTTTCGTACAATTAAATTCCTTAAAACCGTAAAATAATGTTGATAGTAGTAGTTGGAACCAGGAAGTGGTCATAGAACTTGATTAATGAAAAGACTTAGCCAACTCACTAACTGAAGAAGTTAAATGAATAATTTTAGCAAAAATTAAAAGCACACTAAGGTTATCTGCCCAAGGAAAAGAGAGGGTCTTCGTAGAGAATTTTCGAAGGGAAACTAAATCATAGTCAATTTAAATAAAAGGAAAAACACGAAAAACCCACATAACCAGTATGTTCACTGAAACTCGAACGCGGATCAAACTGGTAGTGTTTAATGGTCTTATTCACTCGGCCACTAAAAATTGTCGAGGAGTTAGTAATAAATGGCGATGCAATCGATGTTTGCCTCCCTTTCTTATCCTTATTTCTGGTTTGCGGCAGATTATGCAATTAATTATTATTATTTATTTCGCCCACATTAAGATTGGACCTAAAGATCAAGTGGAAAGTTCCAAACAGGGCGTTGTTGTCGATACAAGGCGGCATAAGGCTTTTTATCTGTTTTTTTCCTGCTGTAAACGTGATTGCCTATCAGTATAAGAGAAAATGATTTATTTGAAAGCAGTCTGTTTCACTTAACAATATCTTGCCCTAAAGCGTAAAATTTGTACTATTAGAATGATTAATAAAAGATCTTCCTGTTTCAATATAGTATATACCTATTTGCCAATACAAAATTTATTTTGTCCTCTTTTCCCCGAATTCACCTTGCTTCTTGCAACAAAAATAAAATTTTGTAATAATGATAACATTTCTGGAACGTATAAGCTCTTTCCCCGTGACTGATTGGTTAAGGTCGCTCAATACTGGTAATTCGATGAGGAATCGAAACCTGATGAATGGATTCGTTGCATAAATGCTTTTCCTGATATCCACAATATTTCTGTTGTAACATGAATAGGAGCCAATGTCAGATAATCAGATAACCTAGTCTGCAGCTGCTGCACCTGCTTTATGTTTCTTAATATTATTGATTTCTATATCTGAAAGCCATTTGCAGAGGTAATTTTGGGAGTTGGGGGAGGGGGAATCCAAATGTTTACTGGGTACTTACGGAAAATCCCGTCGACCATTTTTGCCTATTAAAGAAAAGACAAAAACTACGCGATTTTTCGCCAAAAATGAAAAAGCCTTCTTCAAACACGCTGGATTTGGTGTAACCTTGAAAATGAATATAATTTCGCGAAATTTGGCAAGTGAAAAATTTCGAATTTTTTATTATTATTTGAGGCGAAAAGTAGTATTTCGCAAGACTTACATTTTCTCGCGAAAATTAAAACCTAGCGAAAATAGTTGCTTTCACAGTATATCTCCTTAATAAAAAAATAATGGAAATTTTTAATGAAAAATTAAATGTAAATAAATGATAATATGATAAATTTGGAAAAAAAAATTAGAATAGAACGTCTTTTCTTGTAGTTAAAAAATGTTTTTTTTTGAGGGGGGAGGGGGGTTGGCGCGATTGGCGCCATATTTTATTTTTAATATGCAGTTGTTATCGTTGCTGCCTAAATTCTAGGTAGGGTAATTTCATTCGTTGCATGAATGGCAGCAGCTTTTTGTTAAGAATTTTATTCTAACAATCTGTTGGGTGATACCAAGCAACTGTCTGCACAGTTGTCGGAAATCAGGAATGAGCCGAAATTACTTACAACTTTTAAGATTGTAATCTAATTGTACTGCAAGTGTTTCTAATTATGATTAACTTTTCAAAAGTTGACTTTTATTTATTTATTTTATTTTAGGTTGCTGAGCTGCTAAATCGCTGTTCGTGTCCGGCCCAGTTTCCCATGCTAAGAGTGGGTGACGGCAAATACCGTATCGGTGAAACGCAGCTGCTTATCTTCGTCAGAGTAAGTATGAATACGTAACGTCCTTCACGAATTTTCTGTTATTAAATGCACTCAGAATGGAAATGCATTTCATCGAGCTACTTGTTATATAGAATAAAATACTAAGCAACATTATGAATGTTCCTTGGTTTGTTAAAAGATGCTAATTCACAGTGTCTTAACAAGTGACAATATGAAAAACGTAATGCAAAGCTATTCAAAAAAAAAAGAAGCAGTTATTGCTGATTAAAATTAATTGATCAAAATTTTTTTTCTGATAATTTTAACCACTAATTTCTTGAAAATAACTCAATAAAACCTTTCGCTTTCCGCCTCTTCAGGGATAAACTCCTAGATTAGTAAGTGTTATGCATGTAATTTTATTTATTGTTACTCAATGAATTTGTCACTGTCTATAATTTTCTTTACAAATGCCTCTGCTCTCTCTCTCTCTTTTTCTCTCTTCCGCTGAAAATGTGTTATGAGGCATGGCCCTCTTCTTCATTACTTACCAGATTCTTTCTTCATAAAAAAAAAATACTAAGTGCGACTGGTATGTCAGATGTCTGTATGACTACATGTCTATAGGTACATAAAAATATTACATATATTTTGTTATATGCGAAAAGAAGAAATGAAGCTCATTATACCTTCAGCTGCGCAATCACAGGAATAATGTCGTCTGTAGAAAGCAGAAGCAACAGATGTGAATTTTGAATTCACGAAGCATTGGACAGTAGCGGTGCTGCGAAGAACCTGCTGTTCACAACGAATGAAACGAGGTTTTCACAACCTGTGTAACAGATGTTGTTTCAATACATACCAGCCGTAGAACATCCTAGTAAGGTAATTAATACGGACGAGAATGTGCTCGTAGTTTCGTTTTTATCATTTGTTATTTATTTTTATAGTAATATCATATAATTTACTATTATTTTTAATGGTGTTATTAACGTTGTAAATTTTAGTTTTACTTGCGCAATAAATCATTCTTTAACCACTACATACTGGCCGTCCAAATATTTGCTTTTTTCCTTTTTTATTCTTCTTCCTTTTTTTTTTTTTTTTTTTTTTTTTTAACCGTCTTTTGGATATTTGTTGCATTACTCTATTCCTAATTCTACGATTTTACCAGCACTCTGTTATTATGTAATAGTTGGCTAATCACATAATAGCTGACAAGTGCACGTGGCGGTTTAAGTGCTTTTCTCTAATGTGTCAACTATTCTTTCTACCCAGGACAAAAGATCAGATCGTATAACTTATAGCCAAGAATTTTTTTTTTTTTTTTTTTTTCAGTTTTTTTCTGACTTGCTGAAAATTGCAACCGGTTAGCAGTCCTTCCAACAGCGCAAAATACATCGTAAAAAGATATCCAAAATCCTGCCTTTCTCCTTTCTATGACCAGTATTTCAGTATTGCTCCATGGAAGAAATCCCGTCTTATGAGGTTTAGGCTTAATGGGATCCCAAGAATGTATTTCGTTCGATACAGCATTCTGGAGCTAAGTCTAAATACATTCCATTGAATAAAAATTAAAAAATAAATAAATAAATAAATAAAAAGAAGAAAAAAGAAAAGAAAATTCTTCCATTCTCGTGAAAGATTTGTGACTGGAAGCATGAAAATTCCTAACTTTACAGGAATATGATAGCTTCAGCATATCTAGATTCAGTAGTATAATATCCGCACTATTATTTGTTGACCGTAGTTGATCCGCAGTTGAAGATTTTTTCTTTTTTTCATACTTCTAGCTCATACCGATTCTGTTTTACAATTATATAACATGTCCATAACAAAAATATGCGGTTTCAAGATATATCGATGAAGAAATTGTGATAATTAATGATTCACCGTCCCCTTCTAACCCCTAACAAAACATGTAACTTAGAAAGTTTTTTAAATCTATTTACGGAAGATGCTAATTGCCTCAGAGAACATCAAAAACCACAAAAAAAATGCAACTGCATAGTCGCTAGAGAAGACAGGCTGTCATCTATGTTTAAATATGATGCCATCGCCTTCTGTATTTTTGTTTGGATAAAGTAATCGATATCAGAATAGTCTTGACTCCTATCTAGCGCTTTAATATTTTATGCGATGTAATGAGGTTACTGTCATTAAAAATAAATGCAGATTTTATAGAACTACAATTAAGTTGATCAGGAAGAAATGAACAAAAATCCTAGGTAACTTCCGAGGTCTATTCTTGTTCTAGTCCAAGTAAACGCGAATGGGATAGCTGCATAAATATACCGGCACCTTTAAGCATGTGGTCAAGATAAGCAGTGTTCGCCAAAGCATTTACAAAAAAACCTTTTACAACATTGTTGAAACATAAAAAATGCTGGGGTACTGTCATAAAGATCCATTTTTAACTTCAAAAACAAAAGCATTCCTAAAGATGCAGGCACGTTATGCCGCGGCACCATTACGCAAATAGAATTTTAACATCTCTTATTAATCAAAATAGAAAACCGAAATTCCACTCGCTTATTGCTATTCAGGCATAACTGTGTCAAATGTTATTTTGTTTAGTTAAAACGTTTTTTCATAAAGATGATGCCCTTTTATACGGGAGGATTAACATAAAGTATTCTGCCTTGGAGAATAATGAGCGCGAAAGGTACCGGTACTTTTTTGATGAGGTGCAGCTATGTGTCCCATGCATTTCAAATGTAAACTACATCATTACATTTTAGAGTGATCGAGCTTTACAATGACACGCACTAGAGTAACTAAACATTTAAAATGATCAAAAACATGGAATTTAAACATCACTGAGCTAGAGTCGTCAAGAGCTTGTAACGCATGCGTCAGTATGTGCCTACTGGATGTTGGAGGTCATATCCAGTATATGATATCAGAGATACATCATCGGAAGAGGAAAGAAGCTTCCGGAATTAGTTCTAGATCATTTCTGCCCATTCATTCCTGATTTATGGCAGCAACTTGGCTTAAGCTCTGTATAAGAAAATGGTATTTATTGTGCTAATTTCAATCGTGCATTTCAGCAACTTCTGTAGTTTAAATATGATAATAGGAATATATATATATATATATATATATTACTTTGATGTGAGAAATTCCTTTATTTTTTCCCTTTTAACAGATCTTAAGGAATCATGTAATGGTTCGAGTGGGTGGAGGATGGGACACCCTGGAACACTACTTAGACAAGCACGACCCCTGCCGTTGTAAATCAGGTAACGTATTTTTATTGCCAGTTTCTGAAAACAGAAAAGTAAATTTGTGTATTTCAAGCTATCAATTTATTTTATGTGGTCTCGTTCATTCTTAATGCGCTGAATTCAGCCAGAATTAAATATTTAATTCCCCCCTTCCTCTCCCTCCTCCCTTTCCGACTACCCAATTAAAGGAAATATATAAGATTATGAAGTGGAAATTCTTTTTATATATTTTCTTCGTATGTTATCATTTAGACACCTCAACTATTTGCTTCACACATTCTTTTTTACTAATGATTACATTTCCGTTGATTTGCGATTCGAAAATGTAACCTTAAAGACGTATTCAAAATTCTGTATACCTTTTCTTTAACATCTTTCTGTTGAGAATACCCAAACCTTGTGCATGCAGTTCCATAATATAAGGTATTTCTTCCGCCTTCTTAGCCTGCTTTCGTGGTGTAGAGGTCAGCACGCCCGACGCGAATTCGAGAGGTCCGTGGTTCGTGTCCCGGCGAAGGCATTGCGCATTTTTCATCTCTCTTGCTTCGAAATAACCTAATGTCTCTGCAATACTAGATAATTGGCCTATCCTGTAGCCCTCCAGTAGCAAAACGGGTTAAAAACGCTGAACATAGGTAATTGAACTCGGACTGGGATTCCATCGAAGCTCGAGCAATCGAAATTTTGCTGTAAATAAACCAAAGTCTCATTTTAATCAAAGAGTTTTAGATCTCCTAAATTACTGAACGCAGCATTATTATCATTAATTTATATCAAAATGAAGATTATGAATCAGGTAAATGATCTGATTAAAATTTGAACTTCCAGAAAGTTATATTTTAAAAAGACTGAAATGGAATTCTTTAGTTGAGCCCTATAACAGTACGACAAAAGGGCAATCGACACAAGATGATTTAATATTACTGTTTGCACACATTCACAAAAAGAAAAGTAGACAAATGTAATGAACTTCATAAAGATTTTTGACTAAATATAGCTTGAAAAACTTATTATGAAGGCACGATTCCAGTTTAAGAAATAAATAAAATGTAGGCTTATCTGCATCCGTTCCGGTTGCGTAAAACATTTAGTGAAACTGATTAAAATTTGCATATTTATATTTGCCACGCAAGTAAGAAACAAGTATTCGATGAATTAGAGTTTTCAAACAGATAATTCAGGGAAATGAATTAAATCCAAATACTATATCAAAACGAGCTGAAATAGCATTAATTAAACTTTTCAGTGGATAATTTCAGTGGTAACCCTACCCAGCGTGTTTTGCCATAGGTGATTAAACAAAACCGCAGAATCCTACACAAATATTACTGAACGTAACCTACGTACAGATGTTAAGTATTTGAATATAAATAATGTCTATAAAAGATTAAGAAACTTCAAAGCATAAGTATGAGGTACAGATTCCAGCATCTGGACATTTAGAAATGCTATACTTAAGCCTAAAGCAACTTAAATTATACAACATTAACTAGTGTTTCATTGCCAGTGTTACATATATAAGATACAAAATATGTAAATCAAAATTTTAACTTCAATTAATATAGCCCTTTAATTACTCATTTTTATTTGGGGATTTCTCCTCTCTATTCTAAAAACAGTGTAACTGTTCTGGACCTCGTCTTTTCTATAGTAATCCATATCATTTGACTTTTACATAAGGATGATGACGTAGCTAATTCGGAACTTAATATTTAATCTGCCTCGGTTGCCAAGTCTGCTGTTCATTGTGGATCAACATCTCGATATCTAAGTCATCAACTTATTTACATCATTTAATATATATTAGATAAAAAAATATATAAATCAGCTTTATAATTCACTTTAGCAATAGGCTTTTAACTCCTTATTTTTAATTTTAGCATTTCCTCTCTGTATTAAAAAAAATTGCAATAATTTTCCTGGACTGCGTCATTTCTAGATAAAACTACGCGGCTTTCACTGCGCTGATGACGTTGGTAATTGGGAGCTTGAACTCAAAATTTTGAGAACTGAAACTTAACCTAAACCGAAACCTTCCTCTTCGTGAGCTTACATATTAAATAAGCGCGCAGGTTTAGCTTTAGCCTCTGTGCTACTTGGACACAGTTTCACTGTGCTCTCTTCCTATCGCAATAGTATTCAGAAATGTTAATGTTCTGGAAATAGGCATGATTAGGGTGCCAATGTATTGTGGCCCCAAATGTTAATTTAAATAAAAGCGGAATTTAATCAGCCTCGACTTCTTTTTCTTCAATATGGATCTACGATCTGTCCTTTCTATATATACGCCGCAATCGGTATTTCTGCATTTCTGCATCTCAGTGTTTCCACTTCAGTACTTCTAAAGTTTGCTTTCATTACACATATACATATATATATATATATAGAGAGAGAGAGAGAGAGAGATGTAGGTACAGATAGATATAGCTATTTAAAGCTAGAGAAAAAACTATTAGAAAAATTGAGATGACAGTCGAACATCTGGAAAAAGAATTTACTGTTAATTTTTTTTAGTAAAAATTATATAATTTTTTTAAATATAAAAATAGCATTTAAGAATAAGCATAACGGAAGTAGCATAAATATTTTGCTTCTTTTCTTTAAAAACAAAGTCCCCCTCCCCCCCCCCAAAAAAAACAAAAAAAAAAAAAAACAATAATCTGTTTTTAGCACCTCATGAAACTGGAACTTTATTGTTGAATAAAATTATAAACCCAACTAAAAATGAATTTCAATTCGTTTTTGGTTCTTTTTGAACGTAATTTTGTATGAATTAAAAAATATAAAAATCATAAAAAGGTGTATTACTTTTTGAACAAAATTTTAAAATAATATCGTAGATAAAAAGATCTTATGATCGTCGGTCGACAATAGTCTGAGTCATTCTCTAATTTATTAAATTATGCAAGAAATGTATTCCTGGAAAGAATGCATCTTCGTGGAGATAAAATGATAATTATTTACAGGCATAAAATGTTATTTACGGACAACAAAGAAATTGCGGAATTTTCGTTAATTCTGAATGGGCGCACAAAAATTAACAGATGAATGAGCAAAAACGTAATTAGAGCATGAAAGACTTGCGCGCATACTAATCGTAGAAAATTATAAAACTTCTTAATGGCTACTGGAATTGAACAAAAAATGCTATTTTCCGTTGTTTCTGTTGTTTTCGTTGATTAAAAGGAAAACAATTATAGAATATAATCATATTTGGTAGTTATAATATCAAGGAATAAACTTCCTCAAACGCTTTCTATCTATTTCACAGTTTTGGGATGCGTATTGAATTCTAATTCAGAAACTTTTCTAGGCATTGCGTTATCTACTCTGCGAAGTTAGAACTGCATTTGATGCAGCTAACTTAATGCATAGTAGTTTATGATACTATAATACATTAATGCTGAAACGTTCTCAGAAATCATATATCAAAGACAAAAATTCTGTAATACAAAATGTTTTGTAATAAAATTTATCAATTCATCGTTTAAGTTATTCTCAATTTGAAGAGATCTAGGTTTTTCCCCTTTTGGGATATAATCTTGCTCTCTCTGCGTATAGAAACCAGAGACGTGTAAGAACATTTTTGCCAGTCGACACCACCGTATACCTTTAATTTATCTTCTTGTTATGAAAATGCATCGCTCATCAACGTAAAACAGATGATAATTTAAAGTGCAATTTTATCAGCACACAATTTCATTACTAGCCCAAAGGGGCAATTTGCCCAGAAGGGCTCTTAATTTCGTTTTGGCATTTTGCGTTGTTCACTGGCATTTCACTTTTCAAATTCTTGCCACGAAATATTAGAGCCCTACTTTATATTTAAATAAATTAAATAATGAAGATTATCTTAAGTCGTGAATGTATGTATGTTTCTGGCACTTTGAAAAAACAACCGTACCTAGAGACATCAAATTTTGAATAACATAGTCTTCCATTCAAATATGGGTATCCGGAAACCCAAATTTGGAATTTGTTTTATTATCTATTTTATATTTTGTAAAAAATTTATGAGTTTTTGATTAAGAAACTCAACGATTTCAAAACGATCGATGAAAACACTGCACGGGAGACTGTGTATCGGAAATTCTAAAGATGATTTTGCGATATTCCTGTTGAATTGAATTTTATGGTTCAAATTAATTTTAAGAATTTTATGGTTAAGCATGATATTTAATAATTAAAGGTACCACACAAAATATCCAAAAATCGCCCCTTTGGGCATAATATGAAATCTGAAAGACTTCAGATTTAATTTTTTTTTTTCCTTTGTAATCTAAAGTTTTAACCTAAATGGACTGTCAGTCTCGAAATGGGATTTTGCGCCGTCCATTACAAACGCCTGAATCATTTTTCAAATTCTTGCCATCACATATTTTTGAAGAAATTAAATAATGAAGAATCTGCGTGTATGTTTGTTTGTATGTTCGTCGCGTTGCAAAAAGGCGACTGTACCCAGGGACATAATTCCGAGTAACGTAGTCCTTCACCCAAACATGTGTACAATGGAAGCCCGAATTTTATATTTCATATTTTGTAAAACTCTAATAAATTTTTGATTAACAAACTGAATTATTTGAAAGCGAGCAGTAATAACATTGTACGGAATAAAACATTTTTATTTCCAGCCGAGACTATAGATATGCTGTTTTTAAATATTTTGTGATTTTTGCTGTTGAATTGAATAATTGCGAAGAACATGATATTTAATTAATAAATTGAACACACAAAACGTTAATAGTTGGAGAAAAAAAATTTTGCAAGCCTTCTGACTAAAATTTTTTACCACTGATATCATGAACTGAAAACTTTAAAAAAAAAAAAAAAAAAAAAAAAAAAGAAAAAATGTATACCAACGCTTAATACTGCATCAAAAATTCTAAGCATACGCTACTATGCTGCTTCTAAACTTTTTGTAATTTCCTGTTGAATTGTATACGGCGTTAGTGCAAAGAAGATGCTTATAGTAATAAAGCTCAACAGACATTAAAAAAAAATCTGAAAGGATTCAG